CTTAAAAATCTCCTGCGGAAGCCAAACAAGAAGATTACTGGCTGTGTTAGGCAGAATAACAATAATAGCTGCAGCATGAGGTGGTGACACATCTTAGGACTCCTCAGTTTTCAAATTGTCTACACCCACAGTTATGCAGTACCCAGATCATACTGCTGTTGTGCTCACCATGCACTGAAGAAAACAGAGGCACTGATCGGCAATTTCTGTCCGATTATACACCCATACATCGGTAGTGACATTTTTGAGTTGTCTGTGTACAGATGCCGATAGAATAGCACCATTTGCTGGTGAAGGAAGTTTGCCAAAACTTATAATCTTTATGACTGCAGTTTCATAGATGTGACATCCGATTGTTAAATTGCTGAATGCCTTGCTAATGACTACAAGCTGTAGATGATCACCAATTACACTGATGTTTGTCAGCACTGTTAAGTTGCAGGACTGTTTCAGTGCTGAATGTGAAGGTGTGTTATGCTAACCATACACTAGAAGACTTTGACAAGACTCTGAAAAGACTTTCAAAAGACTAAAGTCTGACACCCTCTCACATCTAAAGACAATGTGTCATTAGTCACAGAGTATCCGCTTTGCTGTTTCCTGTTTGGTGCTGAGAGAGCTCACCTATTGGTTGTTGACAATGTCCACGTCACTATTTGCATCAGCCAAGACTAAAAACTTATGATAATATTAAATACAGTTGATTTTATCGGAACGTCAAGATGAGAAAAAGACTGACTTAAAACAGCTCTGATTACCACCTTACACCAAGCGATCGAGATCACGGGAGCGCGCCGCAACTCTCTCATGAAAACTCTCATGATTTTATTCCAACATTGGAAATTTGTCTGCGACAGTGAAATCGCTTGAAAGTCTTTGGTGTAAGGCCAGCATTAGTTTGGTAAGACACTCATGGCAGCTACAGAATGGAACTCAGTCTTCTGTCTTCTGTCTCTTTTGTCAAGAATAACATAATGCAAGGTATTGAATATCTATTTTATTTCCACCGTGTACAGGCAAGTTATATTTCTTTTTGTCACATCTGGGGCCAACTCATCAACAAAGAACTTGTAAGTGTTTTTGCTTACTTCTAGTAGTGTCTTTTTTTGTTTTTCAGATAAACAAAAATGTGGCTAACTGGTGATGTATGGCCTATATTATCCTTTCACCAGTGAACAAGGAAGGTAGAATCCGAGCAAGCAATGCCAGTGCTTGAAAACATGTCTTACCTCTGAATAAGGAAGTAATGAGGCACTACAAAGCCTCAGTCCTCGTGTATACACTCTTGACTCAATATTATTTACATTGAAAGGGTGCCTGAAATTCATGAACATAGGTAAGGATAAATAATTCAGAGCTACTACATATTTAATAGCTAATGGCCTGAAATATATTGTATTACAATAAATGGTATAGCTGTGCTGTATGCCAGAGCCTTCTGCTATGCTTGCAAATATCTCTCGTGCCTTCTCTTTTACTGGTTTTTGATAGCAGCACACAACAAAAGGTGTGTACTGCTGCCTCCTGCTGTTTCAAGAGTGCGTATGGTGCTGTTGGTTGAATCTAGCATGGCCCCTTGTGGTAAACTCATGTAGTTGTACATATTTTCATTGCAGTGCCTACCATTACCTGGGTCTTTTGAGAGGTTTAAATATAGGGTATGCAGTTTTTAAATATTAAATGTTGTAAAAGTTGTTGTCATTTTACAAATGTAATAGATCCTTGTATTTTGAGATTAAGAATCCTGTCCATTTGCATGTATCATATTCCCACCCCCCATTTTTCAACTAACTGCCATACATTGAGATGACAGTGAGATAAAGTAAAGTGACCACTTGGAAAGCAAGAGGTGATGAATAAGCATATAATGTAGCCATTAGACTTTCCTGAGGTAACAGAATGAGCTTTGGAACCAATGTGCTTGTTGGGGTTAGCCATGGGCCATTGATTTACATCAGTGCTGACATGTTGAAAGTAAACTTGTCATTCACAATTAGAAAAAAATACCCACGTATTGAGAAGTCCACATTCTCTTGCCAGTAGATGGCAGTATGAAGCAATTTACTGAAACCTGCACCTTTTTTTGAGGTCACCAGCTCAAGTTACATAATCATGTCATAATAAGGACTCATCAGTAGGACGAATCAGTAAATTTAAATAAACTATCACCGTCAGTAGTGGTTTAAGATTTGATTTTTCAGCCCTACCCACTAAAATATACGCAGCTTGCATGGAGTTTGTTTTGGCAATTTATACTGAACATGACAATTTGACGTCCCTGTAGTAATAGATTATTGCTGATATCTAATTGAATAAGTGAACAAATGAACATGAACATATTCATGAGTGGCAAAAGTTTATGTGATACATACCCTAGCTGCCTAATGGCAAACGCACATATGTAAATGTATATTGTTGTTAATCATGGGTGGCTTTGACACCCATCTTTTTATAGTTGCTTTTCTCTGTTGCCAGTATGCTCTGTTCTGTGTTCTGTTTGGATTTACTGTGCATTGTGGGAGTCAGATCATCTTGTTTTGTCACATTCCATTTTTCTCACATAACTCAGGTTTTGCTGTGAAGTCACATCACTCCTGTGAAAGTCTTTGCACGTTGCTCAACAATATTAATGTCCTTGAATGGGGGCATAGGGTGAACCTTATTACAAATAAGTATAAAAGATTTGCTGACTAGATGCTCTACTGGTGCTCCCTTAAGCTAATGATGTTGCACCTCTGAACTTGTGGGCACACATAATTGGTTGGCCTGTGGACCTGATGGCCAATTAGCGTAATAGGAGGAGAAACATTGATACAGCATGTCAAACACCACAGCAGAACATAACTATAATTATAATTAACTTTCCACTGCAAACAAGCGCTACAGAAATTCAAACTGGCAAACCAGTGTGTGAAATAAGATGTTAAGTCTAAAGGTTGCGTCAGCAAGCATCTGTATTTTACTGTCATGATTATCATTGAAATAGCAATCCTATTCACACATGCTAAAAGTATTGCAGAGTTTCTGTTTTGTTATTATGGAACACTCCTTGAAAGTGAAGGTGAAATATTTGCTAGAGAAGATGCATGTCCATTTGACACCTTTTCTGGACTTTTGGTCCCTCTCAACTACGGTCACATGACTCATTAAGCCCATGACTAATTAAGCCCATACAAGGTAGAAAACAAACAACTGTTGCTTCAAAGGTGTAAGCGAGTGGAAAGACTTTGCTGCCATTATTCGTCTGTTGTAAGTCTCAACTGGCTTAAAGCCCTGGCGTGTGTCAATAATTCGTTTCCACTTTCACTCAAACCGGATACTTGGCAAAAATAGATTTTGAGCTGTCATCCTTGATGAACAGTTTAAAAGCAGTTATGACATAAACATACTTTGAATTTCAACTTGGCATGCCTACCAAATACAAAATAATCTTGCAAGTGTGGACCTAGCTGCATAATGCAGATAGATATTGAAATTTAAGAACAAGGTCAATTGTAAAACTCGTGTTTGACTTGAATTTGCTTCCTATTTGTGCAAGTTGTAACAATTCTTTCCATTTGACAGCAGGGTAGAGGAGAAGGGCTTTTGTTTGAGTGTGCACTGGCATGTGTAGGTCATTGTATTTGAATGTGCACTGGCTTGTGTGGGTCATGAGGGTTACGAATAACTTCACACACCTTTCGTTGTTTTTACAGATTGAAGGAAGACATTTGTGAAAAATGTGTATAGCTTCAGGGATCATATTTCTGAATTCATCAATGCCCTGTTTCACAGAGAAAATATGTCACGATCTCTGAGGCCTTCACAGAATCCTTCCAGTCATAATGAAATGTCAAATTACAAAAAAAGACTTAGGCAAAATATAGGAAATCATTACAATGGCTTTTAAAATAAAATTCTTCATCCAAACTTCTGAATGTCAGTGATATTTTCATCATAGTTATTTTTAAGGGGTTTTATAATTGACCCCTGTGGGACAGATGTCAGATAGTTTTGCTTTCATGGAATGTTAACAGTTATGTTTTCCTACCCTGCAATGAAATGAAATTGAATTACAGCAGGCTGTGTGCTATAACTGGAAGTAGTGAGCATATGAGCTAAGATGGTCTAAGAAAGGGCAGTCCAGCTTAAAAGCAGAGCATGTATTATGTAAGACCGCAGTGTGCAAACATTTAACACCTGTGCTGATGGAAACACAGATATTTTTGTAATCCAGGACAGAGTTCACAGGCACTGCATGTCTAACCTGCACGTAGCTGCGCTCGAAAAGCCCCCCGAGAGAAAACCCGAGTGTGTTTTTCATGTGTTGTCTGCAGTTGTTCAGGAGTCGGGGCCTTTTGTTTATTGAAGAGGCCCAGGCGTTCCATCGGCTGGCCCGGGGCTGTTGATTTAGATCCATGTACCATTCTTCGGATACCTCTGCCGTTATATCACCCTGCCAAGCCTGTGGAGGCCGCATCTGTCGGAGCAGGCTGCCGGGATTCCACAGGCCCCTGCCATCACGCCCCGCGGTTGCGTAAAAAAGGAAGCCTTGAAAAACGAGCTCTGATGCGAACCAGGGGGCGCGGGCACAGGCGCAGCTGCGCGCTGGAGCTCATCTGGGATTGCAATGGGTACGAGTATGATCAAACTGCACATCCCGTGAAGCCCCGTGAGCTGTGTGGCGCAGTTCCCTCAGTGTGAGCGGCCTTCTGCGGATGGGTCGAGCAGCGATTTTATTCATATGTTTAAGACTCTGCAGAAACTGCCGCTGTAAGGGTCTACCTCTGAGACAACCCCCTGCAGTCAAAACCTGTATGCTTGACAGCTATGCTGTAAGCAGACACAGGTCCCATTCTACAGGTGCAAATTGGTTCCGTTTCAATCTGCAGCATTTTTGCTGTCCTCCCTCATCCGTACCATCAGTTGGCTGGTTGTAACTTCTAAACATATTCTATCTCCAGACTTTCAAATATAACTATCTGGGCATTAAAAATGCATAAGAATAAACAGCAGTGCTCAGCAATGTGGCATAGTGGTAATGAGTAGGGCTTGTAAGCGAAAGGTCACCAGTTCGATTCCCCACTGGGACACTGTTGTTGTACCCTTGGGCAAGGTACTGAACCCAAAATTGCCTCTGAAAATATCCAGTTGTATAAATGGATAACATTTAAAAACTGTAACTGATGTAAGTCGCTCTGGATAAGAACATCTGCTAAATGACAGCAATGTAATGTAATATAAACAAATACAGAGTCTCTTTGGTTTTCTGCTAACCCCCCAACGCATGACTGGGGGCTGATATTGGCATTCCACATGGACCAGTCTGTGCTATGCCCTCCCAGGTCAATGGCCTGATGGCTGTACCTGGTTACAAGTTCAAGAGCCTGGAAGGTGCAGAGAAAGGAAATGACCTGTCCTGCTTTGATCCCTGTTGCACCCCAGTGCCGGTATGTACCACTTATATGTGGAAACTGCCCCCAGGCCTGTGATTTAGGGGCCTGACCTTGCATTCACCGAATGCGTGCTCCAGAGGGTTGTGTGGTTGTACAAATGAGGGGCCGAGTGGAGGAAATTAGTAGTTTTTTGACCCTGATGCTGTTCACTTCATGGACCCAGAGGCAAATAACTTTGTCTCTTTGCTGTGAACTATTTCCACCATTTGCCCTGATTGCCTCATCAGTAAATGGTGGGTGAAAGTTCTTCACAGTAGAGGTTCAGTTGGATTTGAAGCAGGTATCTAAAAGGGTTTCATGAGGGTTTAGTGATTTGTGAGGGCCCACGAGTCTCATCATGAATTATCATATTAGCCATACCTAGAATAAATATAATTACAGCAAATTTAACCTGATCCTTTTTTTTTGGATGGGTACGCATCTAAATCAAGGCTAATAGAAACACTGACTAATACTGTCAATCTTTAATGTTACTGTGTGATGAGAAACTAATAACTGCAGTTCAGGTGGATCTGTACTTTTTTTTAACAAGACAGACATTCCTTTTATTATTCAGGTTGCATGGTTGTGGAAGCGAGCCGGTGGGTTTTTATGAATGGGTGACTCACGGCTAAGTCATACGGTTGCTTTGATGAATTTTGCTTGAAATAAGGCATATCATCACTTGAATGATGATTGTCTTGAATGATGATTAAGTCTTCGCATGCCTCCAGGAGAACTCATTCACCAAAAACATTTTGTCTGCTGAGTGGGGCACACCTGCACTATGATCCCCCCCCCCTTTCACAATGCTCCTGGTGATTCTCTCCCTTTCGTGTGGCTTTGAGTCACTAAAATCTCAAAAATGAATACTCCCTGGACAGGTGTATTTACACTTTAACTTTGTCAAACGACACCTTGGCATGCTCTATGATAAAATAACCCAGCGAAAATGTTTGTTGGAACCTGCCAAGCATTAGTAAATATGAATCACGTGGGCCTTTTTCTTCATCCAAGTACAACAAACACCTTCCATGGGGTCCATTTTCAAATGCTTATTGACTCTCAGAAAAACTAAATTATATCAAGATCCAAATATATATAACTGTGAAATTATCACTGTAAGCTGAGCGTCTGGTGACACATCGGTTCAGAACAGTACAAGGCTCCCTTGGGTAATGGCTTCCCACAATGTTCTAAACTCCAAATATTTGTACTCTAAATATTGCCTCTTTGGGAAGGGGACTGATCTGATGGAAGGAGTGTTAGTGAATCTGAGCTGCCTGCCTCGTGTGTTGTGTGTGTATGCAGGTCAGGTGCGGCTCCCCTTGAGTGACTTTAGGTAAGGCAGAGCTGTCAGCCGCTTTTTTTGCTGCCAGTCTAATGCTCCATATTCTAGCTCTGCTCTTTCCTCTCAGAGTAGAGAGTCAAAGTCTAGTCAAGTCTCTCTCCCTTTCTCTCCAGACACTTCAGATTATTATTATTTTAATAATAAATAAATATTTTAATTCATTTGAGATTTACAGTTTGTTGTATATATAAATAAAATGTATATTATACACTTAGGTTAAGTTCAGAAGGCAAAATTCAGCCTTAATTTCTTGTTTAATTCACCAAAAGAAATTGTGTTATGTCTGTTGTAGTATTTTATTAATCTAAATGTCATGTAATCATTATTACATTACCCACAGTGTAGAAATTCTATCATAAAACATTTATTTATTAGAGATTTATAATATCAGCATCGTCTTTGTCCTTTATCTCAAACTATACTTTCCAGGATGACCTCCAAAGCAGCCATTTTACACATTATGTTGTTTTACAGCTGGATATTTGCTCAATCAATGCAGGTATTTTGGTCCAACAGCAGCTCAAAGGTAGGTCCAACAGCAGTGCCTCGCTTGGGAATGAAACCTGCAACCCCTGTGTCATATGCCTGGTTACTTAGCCATTGAACCACCTCAGGTTTGGCTGGCAGTGCCTCCACTCTGGGACCCCCCCAACCCCCATACCCCCCTTACCCCCCCTTACCCCCACGTCCCAGCAGCAGGAGGAGGAGAGGTTCAGATGGGAGGGGGGAGGGGGTGGTCTCTCTGGCAGCCCGTGGGATGGTCCCAGCATTTCATTATGATTTCACACTGGAAGTGTGTCTGACAGCAAGTGTAGATTTATTGCCTTCATACACACCGCAAAGTGACAGCCAACACTGCACGAGGTAAGGGACCATTACATAATGCTCAATTAAGCTGATAAGGATTATTAGCAGAATTAAGTGAAGACAAAACATTGTTCTGATATTATAATAATTTAAATTTGTGAGATGTGGCATTTTCATCATCTTGAAAAGTATGGTATTCTGTAAAGAAAGGCAAAGGCAGTTTTTGGCATAAGATAATTCCTCTGTCATAATTTTCATATTTCATGACAAAGAAGGTGCAGCCTTCGGTTCTGTTTGAGCATCTTTTATTCTCTCTGTGGGAGTCTCTTTTTCCCTTTGTTTGCACTGGAGGCAGACAGTTGCCTGCAGGTTCAGGGTCAGTCTGGCTTCTCTGGGTTCTCTCTGGTGAAGGCTGGTTGTGCGTGTGTGTGTGTGTGTGTGTGTGTGTGTGTGTGTGTGTGTGTGTGTGTGTGTGTGTGTGTGTATGTATAGCTTGGTCAGTACATGTGTGTGAGTGTGTGGGTGTGTACATTTGTGTGTGTGCACATGTGAATATACTTGCTTGCATCAGAATCTGTGTGTGTGTGAATAGGTTTTTGTTTGTCTTTATGAGTTTGAGTGTGTATGTGCATCTCAGAGTTTGTGTGTTCATGTGTGTGTGCATCTGTATGTGTGTACGTGCATTTGTGAGTGTGTGTGCGTATGTGTGTGCATGCGAGTGTGTACATCTGTATGTGTGTATGTGCATTTGTGACTGTGTGCGTGTGTGTGAGTGTGTGTGTGTGTGTGTGTGTGTGTGTGTGTGTCTGTGTATATGCATACATCTTTGTATGCATCTGAACAGAAGGATTAGCTCTGCTCATGCTGGGAAAATCCAATGTGCCAGGGAGCAGATAAGACAGGAAATGAAATCTGCTCTGGTCTCAGGTGCATTACATAGATCCTCTCATTAAAAAAGAGAGGACGCAGAGAGAAAATCAATTAGACAGTCCAGCACCATCAATTTTTCAATTACCAGGGGAGTAAAAGGAAACGGTTCATTTGGAGAGATAGACACTTGCATTTTGATTCTGTAGGGGAAAGTTGGCCAGGGGGTGTTCAGCTTATCTGAAACTTATTTGAAACTGCTTGATCAAGAGGAGTACCTTTCCCTTGAGGGCTGCTGTTGCTGGTTGCACCCTGTGCAGCTGCGGAGGATAAAAACTGGCACCGTCAGCCCTGGTTTTTGTGATTATGTTGCCCAATCAAGCTGCGTGCAGCATAGAGAGGGCTGGGAGGCAGGAAGTTGCCGGGCCGTGACACGGTGGAGGACGAGCAGCTGTCCGCTTCAGTGGTGCTGATCTCTGGGGCTCAGCCGCCCCCAACGCCCCCCACGCCCACCGAGACCCCGATGCGCCCGGAGGAACAATGGGGGGAGAGACAGGTGGCGGGGACAGCTGAGCGCGGGAGCTGGGTCTTTTGGCACCGTCGGCTCGATCTCGCACGCGGAGAGCCTCAATGTCTCTCTCACTGCGCGATTAAACAGCCGTCACGCTCCCAGTGGCAGATGAGTCACTCTGGCCGAGCGTTCTCTCTCTGCTGCTGTTTAACCCAGCCTTGCTTTCTTTTCTTAAATTTCATTTAATAACGATGATAATAAACTTACTGGGCTTTTCTTGTGTGATGCTCAAGGCACTTTCCAGATAACAGAAAGAATTCTGATATTGAGTCATGTAAGGCAGTAAAAAGACAAAAGTTAAAATCAAATAATAAAACAATATAAGCAGTTTAAACAGTAAGCGTGAGCAATACCTGTAAAGAAAGCAAATACTGGTAATAAAATTTACATCACAATCATTTAACATCAAAAATTTGATTTCTTTTTATCAGCGACTATGGAGTGTAGTCATGTTTGATTCTTAATCTCCTTGATATACAGACAGAGTACTTTGAAGGAAGGAAAGGAAATGAATTGTATTTGAGATGCAATCCTAGTTCAGATTAGTTGGCTCGCGTCACTGACTTTGCGCTCAGCTTCAGCACTATTTGCATTATATGACCTTTACACATCTTGCTCTTGTGCCTGTTGTTTGCTCACTATTTGCACTTTTGTACGTCGCTTTGGATAAAAGCGTCTGCCAAATAAATAAATGTAAATGTAAATGTAAATGTAAATGAATTATCAACCTGTCTGACTGTGTGTCTAAGTGTTTGCATTCAGAGACGGCAATGATAAGATTGAACAAGCACAAAACCTTCAGCCTTGTTTTATACTGGTCAGTGTATCTACCTGAAGGAGGGAACAAAAGTCAACAGCGCCTGGCGACGAATGTCCCAAAGGTGTGTGACTGTTGTGTTTAATTTCAATTAGCAAAGTCTCCATGGGAAGTCAAGGTAACCGCAAAGAGATCATTATCAGGACACGCTTTGTCGTACACTCAGACATTATGGGCTGCATTAACAAGAAATGGTTGAATAGAATAGGATTTGTGCCTTCTCATTTTACCAGTGTGACCTTGTCCATATT